TATTTTATAAGTCATTCTTCTGGTTGTTTAATTATGATTCACCATTAGAGAGGAAAAGTTAAATCCTTCCAGTGTCTCATCTGATCTTCAGTTCTTGTTATACATACTTTTGGTTTTACTTTTTTCCAGTTTTATTGAGATATAATTGACGTACAACACTGTATAAGTTTAAGGTGTACAACATAATGATTTGATATATGTATATATTGTGAAATGACTACCACAAGAAATTTAGTTAACATCCATCACCATACAGAGTTTACAAATTACTTTCCTTGTGATGAGAACTTTTAATTTTAAGATCTACTCTCTTAGCCATTTTCAAATAAACAATACAGTATTGTTAACTATAGTCATCATGTTATACAATGTTATGGATTTTAAAAGCCTACCCATCAATAATTTTTCCTGTTTCTATTTCAGACCAGTGATTACACTGGCAAAATTACTATTTGATTTTGCAATAAAGGTAATAAGTAGTATGAAATTTTCAGTTTTCATATGTTTGGAGCTGTGGAAATACTGCCTCTAGAGAGAAGAAATAAGATGTCAACCATGAACCAATGGAATTTTTCTTCCACAATTGAAATATTCACCATGGGAATAAGAAAGGGTCAGAGGACTTCCCTGGTGCCGCAGTGGTTAAGAATCCTCCTGCCTATGCAGGGGACACAGGTTCGAGCCCTGGTCCGGGAAGATCCGCGGAGCAACTAAGCCCATGCGCCACAACTACTGAGCCTGCGCTCTAGAGCCCACGAGCCACAGCTACTGAAGCCCACGCGCCTAGAGCCCGTGCTCCGCAACGAGAGAAGCCCGCGCACCGCAACAAAGAGTAGCCCCTGCTCGCCGCAACTAGAGAAAGCCCACATGCCGCCATGAGGACCCAACGCAGCCAAAAAATAAATAAATTTATATATATAAAAAAAAAGGGTCAGAGGAAAGGAAGATACTTTTCCTTAAAACCAAGGACAGGAAGTATTAATTATATGCATCAAAGCAAACTTGGAAACAAATTGTTTTCTTAACAACAAGAAAAACTATGGGTGGGTTTAGCTCTATTCTACCATCACACTTCAGCCATTAGAGAGATTGGCAATGCCAACATTTTAGACTGTGAAATATTTACTTAAAATGACAACAGCTAACATTTGCAAACATCTTGCTCTGTGCTAAACAATTTAAATGAAATCTCTCATGTGAATCTCCCAACTCAAGAAGGTAGGGGCTACTCTGAGCCTTATTTTAAAAATGAGAACACCAAGGCTCAGAGAGCAACGTGCCCATCCACGGTCACCAGCATCTGGGGCCCGGCCGGCATCTGAGCCCAGGCGGGCTGTCTCCAGAGCTGCGCGCTTCACGTGAGAATGGGACCTTGGCAATACCCTGGCCATAAAACTGCCTTGATTTAAGGACATCTCAAAAGAACCTAACATCAGTATAAATACATACATTTAGCACTTTATTGGTCTCGACACTTTCCCCTGAATCATCTCCTAGATCCTCAAAACAATCCTTGAAGGTGGGCTGGACAGAAGGTTTGTTCTCTCGGTCTTTAGAGGTAAGAAAACAGAAAAGCTGAGAGATGAAAAAGAAAACTGGGATCTCCTGACTCCAAATTCAAAAGTATTTCCAACCAAAGTGAACTGGGGCCCTTCTTCCTCCTCTTCTCTAGAAACCTCATAGCGTTGGTATGAGAATGAAGTGAGGATGTCTATGAAGTGCGTGGCGCCAAAGAACTGTCCCATCATAAATGCTCAACAATTTCAACGTAACCCCAAATGAAAAGGACTGACTGGCTTTCTATTTGGTTACAGAAAGAGCTTCAGATTTTCTTTGTTACTAAACAAGGGAAGTATCTGATGACCTCAGAAGAGAGTATTTAGAAAGAGAGTATAAGCTTCTCTGAGACATAAGTTCTAAAAGTGTTATCTGTGTGGCTGGCACCACATAAAGCATTCACCAGAAAGTTAACTGCTGAAAAGAAGCATTTAAAAGTGGGCCCTTAAAATAAATTTTGAAAGTTCAGGAAGAGTTCACTTCACAGACATTAGTTTTTGATTCCACAGTACAGAACTAGCAAGCCCATGTACAACACTCATGCACAATATACGCAAATACAAATACATGAATAAATAAAAGTAAACTGGAAAAAAGAAAAGAATTCACTTGGCTAATGTTCATGTTTTCTTTCACACCTCTAGGAGAGGGAAGAAATAATCAGAAAATTCAGTGCTTGAAGTAAACCTAAGATTGTAAAGCAAAATGTGGTCATGGTGAATAGTTACTGCTATAAACATATAATTTCACAAAGTTGGAGCACAAAATTTAAATGCACAAAATTTAAATATATGCATAAAATGTTTCTAGAAGGACACACAAGAAACTCAAGTGAGGCTTCTGGGTAGGGAAACTGGATAAAGGACAGAATTTTCTTTTCACTCTCCTATTTAGAATTTTTTATGATGTGCAGCTATTTTAATATACATCTACTGCTAAAGGTAATCATTTTTATCAGTATTAGGCTTCTAGAAGAGAAAAAAAGAATATCCTTGTTTCAGGCTTTAGAGTGTTTCTGAAGATACCATTTTAACCTCCACAGAGAGTTCCAAAGGATATAAACAGTCACAGCTGGTAAAGCATATACTGGCTAAAACTGGGCTCTTTGGAGCCAGACAGCAAGGGTTCAAATCCCAGCACCACCACGTGCTAGCTCTGTGACCTTAGACATGTTTCCTAACTTTCAGATGCCTCAGCTTCCTCATCTATAAAATGGAAGCAACCAAAGGGCCATCATAAGAAATAAGCAAATTAAATCATACAGAATGCTGAAACAGTGCTTGGAACACAGTAAGCATTTAATAATTGTTGCTTTGACAGCTAGGCCCAAGTAGCAACAGATGCACGATCAAGTTGCATTTATGGCTGAACTTTCTCTGATAGAATGGAAAACTTGACCATATTCAATTTTCTCCGTGACTCGGGATGCATGGGTCCCTAGTGCATGTCAATTAAACACTGACTGACTGATTGAGGATGTCAGTAAAAACAAAAAGCCTGGATTACTTATCCAGATGTTGGCAAGTGTTTTTCCCAAGCGACTAATAGCACATCCAGTCTTTAAGAACTGATCACTGAGGTTTGTTAAATTCTCTCAACTACAAAACAGTAATTCCATGTACTTTCTCCGATTGACCATAACAATGAAAGAAGGAAAACTCAGTTACAAAAAAGAATTCCTAGAGTGATACCTTCCTAGATGAAGCCTTAATGCAAGGCAGTCTGCTGTAATCAGAACTTTTTTTTTTTTTTTTTTGAGACGTGACAGTCAACATTATTTCAAGATATGCTGGAATAAGACGCACTGGATTTTGTCTCCCTTCCCCCAAAACAATAATTAGACCAGCCAGGTAAGAACTAAATCTCCTGTTTACTCCCAGGAAAACAAAACAATGTCACAGCACTGCTGTGACCTAACCTTTCTTCCATCGCTGCAGTTACAAAAGCCCATTCATCTACTCTGCCTTAAGTATCCATCTGCAAAATGGAGATGGTAATGCCTAACACTAACTCGTTACAGATGTAAATGAGAATGTGTCCAGAATTTTGAGCAACTTGGAAAGTAAGCAACGTATTAACTGAAGATGATTTTGGCTGCTCAGATGCCAACTTTTAGGGACAAATAAACCATCTTCCCCTCTAAATGCTAGGTTTTGTGAGCCCACTCCATCTGGATGCATCTTCTCCAAGGGACTAACCTTGGGCTAACAATATACACATCTCACGGCAAGAAGGGCACCTGTATCCCTGGAGTTTATGGTTTGAGCTGCACATGTATGTGACCTCAGGCAGACCCTCAAGTCAAAAAGTTGGAAAGAAAAGAAAAATAGGTTAGACGATTAACAAGGCCTCCGTTTACTCTGCCTTCATTTTAAAAAGAAAAACATTACAACTTCATGGCACTATGGCAGCAGAAATTCTACTTGTTCTAAAATGAGCTTTACATTTCTATTCCTATTTCAAGTCCTAAATGAAAATGACCAACGAATGCAAGCAGGATTACATCTCTGAAGCACAATTAGCCTTTCTGCTGAAAGCAAGCAGTCTGGGATGACCAGTCCCCAAATCAGATAAATTTGATTCATCCTGAAGTTACAAAATGAGGTCCACTCATCATACTCAATTGGCGCTTTTTTTTTTTTTTTTTTCAGTTGTCACCTTACTAAGACAGAAAACAAAGACAAATAAACAGGAAAGAAGACAAATGGGATTCGAGAAGAAAAGGAGAGTAGAATGGAAAGAGGGCGAAAGCGAACCGCTCCGGGCTCTGAGGCTTTATCGAAGGAACTTAACAGGAGGTTACCCTCCTGCCTCCCAAGTACCCTGGACTCATTCAAAATGCCTTCTTAAAATGCGGTGTAACTTTTCTTTTCGCCCCGCAAAAGTGAGAGAATTCCTAAGACCTCTTCGTGGTCCGTAGATAAGGGGCGGCGGGGGGAGTAGAAAGATCACTTGAAATTCTGTATCCATAAATGGTAGAGCCGTGTGCTCTTCGTACACGAGACTTAATGAAAATCATGTGTTTCACAAACACGGGTTGACCTTTTTGACACATAATTCCTAATTAACGGTGGAAATTCCACAACGTGGGCTCACAAGGCCGTTCAGGCCTGTAGAGTTTGCTTCCCCCAACTTTCGGGCAGAGCCCCGCAGCCCGGGGCCCGCGACTTCGCCCTCCCGACATGGGCTCTGCCGCGGTGAGTGCGCGGGGGCCGGAGCCCCGCACCCTCCCGGCTCGCTGCAGCGCCCAGGGGCGGGCGAGGGAAAGACAGAGAGAGAAAGAGAAAGAGGGAGAAAGAGAAAGGGAGAGAAAGGGAGAGGGAGGGAGAGGGAGGGAGAGGAAGAGGAGGGAACGCGCGCGGGCGGGCGGGCGAGGCCTAGGAAGGCCCGGCGGCGGACACGCGGCAGCCTAGACCCAGTCCCGGCGCCGGCCCCGCGCTTACCTTCCAGGTAACAGCTGGAGGAGGACGAGAGCCCCTTCTTGGATTTGCAGCCCACCAACTTCAAGCAAATTTCCAACATTTTCGCGTGCCGGCGGCGTCGAGGCCGGCGCCCTGGGCTGGCTCCGCGGCGCGGCTCA